CCCTGAGTGTCCCGTGTGTCCCTCCCCTGTCCCCGCAGGTTCGAGAAGCTGGACATCACTCTGAGTGTCCCCTGTGTGTCCCCTGAGTAGTGTGTCCTGAGTGTCCCTTGCACGTCCCCATGTCCCCGCAGGTTCGAGAAGCTGGACATCACTCTGTGTCCCCTGAGTGTCCCCTGTGTGTCCCCATGTCCCCCCAGGTTTGAGAAGCTGGACATCACTCTGTGTCCCCTGAGTGTCCCTTGCATGTCCCCTGAGTGTCCCCATGTCCCCAGGTTCGAGAAGCTGAACATCACGCTGAGTGTCCCCTGAGTGTCCCCTCTGTGTCCCCGCAGGTTCGAGAAGCTGGACATCACTCTGAGTGTCCCGAGTGTCCCCCCTGAGTGTCCCCACATCCCCTTAGGTTCGAGAAGCTGGACATCACGCTGAATGTCCCCTGAGTGTCCCCTCTGTGTCCCCCCAGGTTCGAGAAGCTGGACATCACGCTGAATGTCCCCTGAGTGTCCCCTCTGTGTCCCCCCAGGTTCGAGAAGCTGGACATCACGCCCAAGAGCGCGCAGAAGCTGAAGCCGGTGCTGGAGAAGTGGCTGCGGGAGGCGGAGCAGCGGCAGCGCGAGGGGCAGCAGCACCTGCTGGAGTTCGTGGGCGGCGAGCCGGGCAAGAAGCGCAAGCGCCGCACCTCGTTCACTCCGCAGGCGCTGGAGGCGCTCAACGCGCACTTCGAGCGCAACGCGCTGCCCACGGGCGCGGAGATCACGCGCATCGCGCAGGAGCTGCGCTACGAGCGGGAGGTGGTGCGGGTGTGGTTCTGCAACCGCCGCCAGACGCTCAAGAACACCAGCAAGCTGAACGTGTTCCATGTGCCCTGAGGGCCGCGCCCGGCCCGGCTCTGCCCCGCCGACACCGACACCGGCACCGGGACCGGACCGGACCGGACCGGGTACAGCAGCGCCCGGGGCGCCGGGCTGGGAGCGCTGGGAGCGCCCGCGGGGCCGTCCGAGCTCCTGCCAGCAGCACTTTGGGCACTGCTCTGTCCCTCTGCCACCTGGTTCCGTCACCGCACCTGTCCCTCTGCCACCTGGTTCTGTGACGGCACCTGTCCCTGTGTCACCTGGTTCCGTCACCACACCTGTACCTGTGTCACCTGGTTCTGTCACCGCACCTGTCCCTGTGTCACCTGGTTCCGTCACTGCACCTGTCCCTGTGTCACCTGGTTCTGTCACTGCAGCTGTCCCTGTGTCACCTGGTTCTGTTCACATAGCTGTCCCTGTGTCACCTGGTTCTGTTCACATACCTGTCCCTGTGTCACCTGGTTCTGTCACTGCACCTGTCCCTCTGCCACCTGGTTCTGTTCACATACCTGTCCCTGTGTCACCTGGTTCTGTCACCGCACCTGTCCCTGTGTCACCTGGTTCTGTACACATACCTGTCCCTGTGTCACCTGGTTCTGTCACTGCACTTGTCCCTGTGTCACCTGTTCCAGCACCACATCTGTACCTGTGTCACCTGGTTCTGTCACCGCACCTGTACCTGTGCCACCTGGTTCTGTCACCACACCTGTCTCTGTGTCACCTGTTCCAGCACCACATCTGTACCTGTGTCACCTGTTCCATCACCACACCTGTCCCTCTGCCACCTGGTTCTGTCACCACACCTGTCCCTGTGTCACCTGGTTCCGTCACCACACCTGTCCCTGTGTCACCTGGTTCTGTCACTGCAGCTGTCCCTGTGTCACCTGGTTCTGTTCACATACCTGTCCCTGTGTCACCTGGTTCTGTCACCGCACCGGTACCTGTGTTACCTGTTCCATCACCATCACACCTATATCTGTGTCACCTGGTTCCATCACCACACCTGTCCTTTTGTCACCTGTTCCATCACCAGAGCTGTCCTTGTGTCACCTGTTCCATCAACACACCTGTACCTGTGTCCGCCATGCCTGTATCCGTGTCCAGCGCACCTGTGCCTGTCCACCACACCTGTCCCTCTGCCACCTGGTTCCACCACACCTGTCCCTGTGTCACCTCTTCCATCAGCACACCTGTACCTGTGTCCAGGTCCTCACCTTTGTCCACCATGCCCATATCTGTGTCCACTACACCTTTACCTGTATCTACCACACCTTTACCTGTGACTACCGCACCTGTACCTGTGTCCAGGCCCTCACCTGCCCCTCAGCGACTCCCACATGCCCTAAACTGGGAGCGCTGGGAGTGCCCCTGTGTCCTCCCCAGGCTCCTGCCAGCAGCACTTTGGGCACTGGTTCTGTCCCTCTGCCACCTGTTCCACCCCCACTCCCGTCCCTGTGTCACCTGGTTCCACCACCACACCTTTACCTGTGTCCAACATTCAATGTCTTCCACAAGCTCTGAACTGGGAGCACTGGGAACATCCCAGTTCCCGGTCACAGTCCCCCCTGACCACCTACTATCATCCCTTTGGCCACTGGTTTTGTCCCTTTCCACCCCTGTGTCCCTCCAGGCCTGTGCCCGTACCTGTGCCCATACCTGTGCCCACCCCCCTGTGCCCTCAGCACCCTGAACTGGGAGCACTGGGAATCCCTCTGTGTGTCCCACCAGTCACAGCCCCCTGACCTCCAGCCATCAGCACTTTGGCCACTGGATTTGTCCCTTTGGCCATGGATTTGTCCCTTTGGCCACAGATTTGTCCCTCTGCCCCGTGCCTGTACCTGTGCCCACCTGTGCCTGTGTGTGCCCCCCGCTCCTTCCTCTCACACACGACCCCCCCTGTGACACACGTGGTGACAGACCCTCCCCTGAGTGTCACCCACCCACCCACAATCAGCGATTTCCATTTTCCTGGGTTTTGCCCTTTTCCCTGTGTTTCTGAGGCGATGTTACGGCTCACCGGGGGTGACCCCAAATTTACGTCACCCCCACTTTGCGGGTCCCCCACCCTGTGAGGGGCTTCTGGGGGTGATCCCCCACCTTGGGGACGTCCCGTGGGTGGATTTTGGGGACATCTCCGCCGGGTTTGGGGGGCGTGAACCCCAAAGCAGAGGCAGCGTCCCCTCCCCAGTCCCCCCTGCCCTGAGCGATTGGGGGGGACACGGGGGCGTCCGCTGGGGCCGCGGCAGACTGATGCACTTGATGTAGTGGTGTGAAATAAACAGTATTTTTCTTTTTTCTTTTCCTTTCCCCTTTTTTCAGGATTTGGGAGGCCGGGGGGGGGGGGTCCCTTCCTCCTCCTCGCCCCCCGTCCGCAGCTGGGCAGAGGCGGCAGCGGGAATCGAACACGCGAACCCGCGGGAGGCGCCGCGCACAGCCCGGCGCCTCACAGAGCCCAGCGCCGCACGCCGCCGCGGCCACGCCCCCCAGCCAATCCCCGAGCTGCCTGCCTGGCGCGCAGCTCTCTATTTGTTACTGTGGCCGCCCGTCACGCGGCGAGGCCTATTCCCATTGGCTGAGCGGGCCGGAGGGGCGGGGCCGCCCGCCCAGCGGCGGGGGTGGGGCCGCCGCCTCCATCTTGGCGGAGCGGCGCGTTCGGGGGTCCCGGCCCGGAGCGGGGGGGGGTGGGCCCGGACTGGACTGGGGGGTCCCGGTCGGACTGGGGAGAGGTCCCGGTGTCGTCTGGGGGGTCCCGACCCGGAGCGGGGGGGTGAGCCCGGCTTGGGGGGTCCCGGCGAAAATTGGGGGGTCCCGGCCCGGACTGGGGGTCCCGTCCCGGTTTTGGGGGTCCAGGCCCAGTTTGGGGGGTCCCGACGCAGACTGGGGGGTCCTGGCCTCGATTGAGCGGGTCCCCGTGGGTGCAGCCCCTGCAGGGCAGTTAAGGACTTTGGGGTCCCCGTGTGTGAGCCCTTAGAGGGGAGTGCAGGATTTTGGGGGGTCCCCTTGGGTGCAGCCCCTGTAGGGCAGTGCAGGATTTTGGGGTCCCCTTGGGTGCAGTTCTTAGAGGGGAGTGCAGGATTTTGGGGTCCCCTTGGGTGCAGCCGCTGCAGGGCAGGGCAGGATTTTGGGGTCCCCTTGGGTGCAGGGGAGTGCAGGATTTTGGGGTCCCCACGGGTGCAGCCCCTTGAGGGCGGTGCAGGATTTTGGGGTCCCCTTGAGTGAAGGGCAGTGCAGAATTTTGGGATCCGTGCCCTTAGAGGGGAGTGCAGGATTTTGGGGGGTCCCTTTGAGTGCAGCCCCTGCAGGGCAGTGCAGGATTTTGGGGGGTCCCTGGGGGTGCAGCCCCTAGAAGGGAGTGCAGAATTTTGGGGGATCCCCTTAGGTGCAGAGCAGTGCAAGATTTTGGGGTCCCCTTGGTCGCAGCCCTTAGAAGGGAGTGCAGGATTTTGGGGTCCCCGTGGGTGCAGCCCTTAGAGGCCAGTGCAGGATTTTGGGGTCCCCTTGGGTGCAGGGCAGGGCGGGATTTTGGGGGCTACCTTCAGGTGCAGCCTTTGAGGGCAGTGCAGGATTTTCGGGTGTCCCTTTGAGTGCAGTCCCTTGAGGGCAGTGCAGAATTTTGGGGTCCCCTTGGGTGCAGGTGTTTGAGGGCAGTGCAGGATTTTGGGGTCCCAGTCCCTTGAGGGCAGTGCAGGATTTTGGGGGGTCCCCTTGGGTGCAGGGCAGTGCAGGATTTTGGGGGGTCCCTTGGGTGCAGCCTCTGTAGGGGAGTGCAAGTTTTGGGGTCCCCTTGGGTGCAGCCCTTGGGGTTGCTCTGTAGAACTCGGGGCCCCCCGGGCGTGTCGCCTCTCAGGGGTTTTTGGGGTCCCCCCGAGGTGTTCCCTTTGAGCGGGGGGTGTTGCTGGGTTTTGGGGTTCATTCGCCTGTGCTAGCAGGGTTTGGGGGTCCCCAAATTAATCACTGCAGGAGAGGGTCCTCAAGAGGTTTGGGGGGGCTTTGGTACCCCCAGAAATCAGGGGGAGGTCTTGAGGTGCCCCGAGGAGCCCCTGGCTTGGGGGTGACTCTGAGGAACCCCATTTTTGGGGTGACACTGAAGACCCCGTTTTGGGGTAACCCTGAACCCCATCGGTTTGGGGGTGACCCCAAGGCCCCCTGGTTTTGGGGGTGACCCCAAGCAGCCTCACATTTGGGAGTGCCCCAAACCCCGCTTTTGTCATATCCCCAAGACACCCCCATTTCTGAGTACCCCCTGCCTCCGCCCCGTTTTTGGGGTGACCCTGAGGACCCCCTGTTTTTGGGGGTGACCCGGTGGCCGTTTCGGGGTGCCGGGGCCATGGCGTGGGCGCTGAAGCTGCCGCTGGCGGACGAGGTGATCGAGTCGGGGCTGGTGCAGGATTTCGACGCCAGCCTCTCCGGCATCGGGCAGGAGCTGGGCGCTGGCGCCTACAGCATGAGGTACAGGGACCCCAAAACCCACAGGGCGCCCCAAAACCCACAGGGCAACCCAAAACAGGGCACCCCAAAAGATCCCGGGGAAGGCAGGGGCCGTGCGGGGAGTGGGGGGCCCCAAAAGGAGCTGGAGGTTGGAGGTGTCACCTCAGCAATGGTACGCAAAGCAGGAGGGGACCCTAGGATGTCCAGAGGCACCCCAAATCTTCATGGATCCCCAAAATCCCCAAGGGAAACCCCAAAATCTTCATGGATCCCCAAGAGAAACCCCAAAATATCCATGGGTCTCCAAAATCCTGAAGGGAAACCCCAAAATCTACATGGATCCCCAAGGGAAACCCCAAAATCTCAGGGGGTTCCCAGAATCGCAAAGGGAAGCCCTAAAATCTCCAGGGGTCCCCAGAACCCACCAAGGGAAACCCCAAAATCTCCATGGGTCCCCAGAACCCCCAAGGAAAATCCCAAAATCTCTGGGGGTCCCCAGAATCTCCATGGATCCTCAGAATCCCCAAGGGAAATTCCAAAATCTCAGAGGGTCCCCAAAATTCCCAAGGGAAACCCCAAAATCTCCATGAATCCCCAGAATCCCGAAGGGAAACCTCAAAATCTCCATGGGTTCCCAAGGGAAACCCTAAAATCTCGTGGGGAGTCCCCAAAATCTCTGTGAATCCCAGAACCCCCAAGGGAAACCCCATAATCTCAGGGGGTCCCCAGATTCTCCAGAGGCACCCCAAAATCTCGATGGATCCCCAAGGAAAACCCTAAAATCTCAGGGGGAGTCCCCAGAACCCCCAAGGGAATCCCCAGAATCTCCTTGGATCCCCAAAATCCCCCAGGGAAACCCCAAAATCTCCAAGGGTCCCCAGAACCCCCAAGGGAAACCTCAAAATCTCTCGGGGTCCCCAAAATCCCCAAGGGAATCCCTGAAATGTCCAAGGGTCCCCAAAATCCCCAAGGGAAACCCCAGAATCTCCATGGATCCCCAAGGGAAACCCCAAAATCTCTGGGGGTCCCAGAATTCCCAAGGGAAGTCCCAAAATCTCAGGGGGTTCCCAGAATAGCCAGAGGAATCCCCAGAATTTCTGGAGGTCCCCTAAAATCCCCAAGGGAAACCCCAAAATCTTCAGGGGTCCCCAGAATCCTGGGGGTTCCCCAGGGTCTCCACGAGGCATCTCAAAATCTCCAGTGGAGACTCCAAAATCTCTGGGAGTCCCCAGAATCTCCAGGGGAATCCCAAAATCTCTGGGGATCCCCAGAACCCTCAAGGGAAACCCCAAAATCCCTGGGGGTCCCCAAAATCCCGGTGGGTCCCCATCATGGCAGGGGTTGCCAGGGGTACAGGAACCCTGAACTGTGCGAGGTTGGGGCACCAAGGGGTGAAATGGGGGCGTGGGGTGGAATTGGGGTTGGAGCTGGGATGGAGTTGGGAAGGAGTAGAGATGGAGTTGGGATGGAGTAGGTTGGAGCTGGGATAGAGTTGGGAAGGAGTTGGGGAAGGAGTAGAGATGGAGTTGGGATGGAGTAGGATGGAGCTGGGATGCAGTTAGGGTGGAGTTGGGATGGAATTGAGATGAAGTTGGGTTGGAGTAGGGATGGAATTGGGGTTGGGGACGGGATGGATTTGGGATGGAATTGGGGTTGGAGCTGTGATGGAGTTGTGAAGGAGTTGGGGAAGGAGTAGAGAGTAGAGATGGAGTTGGGATGGAGTAGGTTGGAGCTGGGATAGAGTTGGGAAGGAGTTGGGGAAGGAGTAGAGATGGAGTTGGGATGCAGTTAGGATGGAGTTGGGATGAGTTTGAGATGGAGTTGGGTTGGAGTAGGGATGGATTTGGGATGGAATTGGGGTGGAGCTGTGATGGAGTTGGGAAGGAGTAGGGGTGGAGTTGGGATGGAGCTGGGTTGGAGTTGTAATTGCAGTTATGGCTGAAGTAATGCATGGAGCTGTGTTTGGGACTGGGATGGATTCGGGATGGATTTAGGTTGGATTTGGGATGCGGTAGGGATGGATTAAGGATGGATTTGGGATGGATTTGGGGTGCAGTAGGGATGGATTCGGGATGCATTTGGGATGGATTTGAGGTGGGATGGAGGTGGGATGCTGTTGAGATGGATTCAGGATGGAGCTGGGATGCTGTTGGGATGGACTCGGGATGGATTTGGGATGGATTTGGGATGGATTCGGGATGCAGTAGGAATAGATTCAGGATGAATTTGGGATGCAGTAGGGATGGATTTGGGATGGACTTAGGGTGCAGTAGGGATGGATTCAGGGTACGTTTGGGATGGATTTGAGGTGCAGGTGGGATGGAGCTGGGATGCTGTTGGGATGGACTCGGGGTGGATTTGGGGTGGAATCAGGATGGATTTGGGATGAATTCGGGATGCAGTAGGAATTGATTCGGGATGAATTTAGGATGCAATAGGGATGGATTTGGGGCGCATCCCTCCAGGTGAGGGATGGATTTGGGATGCGGTAGGGATGGATTTGGGATGGATTCAGGATAGATTCGGGATGGATTTGGGATGGGTTAGGGATGCAGTAGGGATGGACTTGGGATGCCATTGGGAGGGATTTGGGATGCAGTAAGAATTGATTCAGGATGAGTTTGGGATGCAATAGGGTTGGAGCTGGGATGCCATTGAGATGGATTTGGGATGGAGCTGGGATGGATTCGGGATGGGTTTGAGATGCAGTTGGGATGGATTCAGGATGGATTTGGGATGCCATTGGAATGGATTTGGGGTGCAGTTGGGATGGATTCAGGATGGATTTGGGATGCCATTGGAATGGATTTGGGGTGCAGTTGGGATGGATTCAGGATGGATTTGGGATGAATTTGGGATGCAGTAGAGATGAATTCAGGATGCATTTGGGATGCCATTGGGATGGATTCAGGATGGATTCAGGATGCCGTTGTGCCAGAGCTGTGGTTGGAGTAGGGAAGGAGCAGGGCTGGAGTTACAGCAGGAATTGTTGTAGTGGTTGGAGTCAGGATCAGCAGTGCTCACAGGTGTACCCAGGTGCTGACAGGTGTAATCAGATGGCCACAGGTGACAGGTGTGCATCAGGTGAGCCCCTGAGGCCAGATGTTCAGGACACACCTGGAGCCCTGGGCTCAGGCAGGGTCCAGAGGCAGAGCCAGGTGGGGCTCATCCTCCAGGTACCAAGGTTGGATTGAAGGAATTCCTGACCCCACCAGCTCACCTGTCTCAGGTGACCCTCTCCTGTGCTGACAGGTGTATTCAGGTGAGCCCCTGAGGCCAGATGCTCAGGGCACACCTGGAGCCCTGTGCTTAGGCTGGGTCTGAGGCAGAGCCATGTTCCAGGTGGGGCTCATCCTCCAGGTACCAAGGTTGGATTGAAGGAATCCCTGCCCCCCCAGCTCACCTGTCTCAGGTGACTCTCTCCCGTGCTGACAAGTGTGTTCAGATGGACACAGGTGTGCCTCAGGTGAGCCCCTGAGGGCAGGCAGGGCCCAGAGCCAGGTTCCAGGTGGGGCTCATCCTCCAGGTACCAAGGCCCAGGTTGGATTGAAGGCATCCCTGCCCCCCCAGCTCACCTGTCTCAGGTGACTCTCCCCTGTCCACAGCGACGTCCTGGCGCTGCCCATCTTCAAGCAGGAGGAGTCCAGCCTGCCCCCCGAGAGCCAGGACAAGCTGCTGCCCTTCCAGTACGTGCTGTGCGCCGCCACCTCACCTGCCGTCAAGCTGCACGACGAGACCCTCACCTACCTCAACCAAGGTGAGCCTCACCTGTCCTGCACAGGTGCCTGGATGGGTGGGGGTTCTGCTGTGGAAGGTGTTGTTGTGGCGTTGTTTCCCCCGGGAGTTGCTGAGTTTTGGGGTGTTGCTGTTGGGAGATGGGAGGGGGCAGTGCCTGCACCTGGCTGTGCTCGGCACAGGTGGAGCAGGAGTCACCTGGGGGGTTCAGCAGGTTGGGGGGGGGGGGGGGACTGGAGGGTGGAAACAGGGGTGTGCACAGGTGTGTGCAGGGTGGAGGCAGGGTGTGTGTAAGGTGTATCTGTACAGGTGTGTGTAGGGTGGTTACAAGTGTATGCAGGGTGGTTACAGGTGTGTGTAAGGTGCATCTGTGTGTGTAAGGTGCATCTGTACAGCTGTGTGCAGAGGATTACAGGTGTCTGTAAGGTGTGTCTGTGTGTGTAAGGTGTATCTGTACAAGTGTGTGCAGGGTGATTACAGGTGTGTGTAAGGTCTGTCTGTACAGGTGTGTGCAGTGGATGTACAGGTGTGTGCAGAGGGTTACAGGTGTGTGTAAGGTGTATCTGTGTGTGTAAGGGGTCTCTGTGTGTGTTAGGTGTATCTGTACAAGTATGTGCAGGGTGATTACAGGTGTGTGTAAGGTCTGTCTGTACAGGTGTGTGCAGTGGATGTACAGGTGTGTGCAGAGGGTTACAGGTGTGTGTAAGGTGTACCTGTACAGGTGTGTGCAGGGTGGTTACAGGTGTGTAAGGTGTATTTGTACAGGTGTGTGTAGGGTGGATACAGGTGTACAAGGTGGTTGTAGGTGTATGTAAGGTGTATCTGTACATGTGTGAGTGAGGCGTATCTGTACAGGTGTGTGCAGGGTGGATACAGGTGTGTGTAAGGTGTATCTGTACAGGTGTACATCTGTGCAGGTGTGTGCAGAGGACTACAGGTGTGTGTAAGGTAAGGTGTACTTGTACAGGTGTGTGCAGGGTGGTTACAGGCGTGTGCAAGGTGTATCTGTGTGTGTAAGGTGTATCTGTACAGGTGTGTGTAAGGTGGGTCTGTGTGTGTAAGGTGTATCTGTACAGGTGTGTGCAGGGTGGTTACAGGTGTGTGCAAGGTGTATCTGTGTGTGTAAGGTGTATCTGTACAGGTCAGTGCTGGGCAGCTCTGCAGGATGGCAGTTACAGGTTCAGGTGTACCTGCTGCTTTCAGGTACAGCTGGAAGGTCTGGGTTGGTGGGACCCCAAATGAGGGAGGAGCTCAGGTGACAGGTACAGGTGACAGAAACCCTCAGGTGCCCTCCTGCCCCCAGGTCAATCCTACGAGATCCGGATGTTGGACAACAGGAAACTCGGGGAGCTGCCCGAGATCAATGGGAAGCTGGTCAAGGTGAGCAGAGAGCTCAGGTACCCCTGGCCAGGTGTGCCCGTGCCAGCCAGGTGCCCTCTGGGGCCCTGCAGCTGGGTGGGGCTGGCAGATTTACCTGTGTGGGGGAAGAGGGTGGTTCCCTTTGCCCCTTTCTGGCACAGGGAGGGGCTGCACACCTGGCCAGGTGTGTCAGGGCACCTCCAGGTGATGTTTCCCTTCCCCAGAGCATCTTCCGGGTGGTTTTCCACGACCGGCGGCTGCAGTACACGGAGCACCAGCAGCTGGAGGGCTGGAGGTGGAACAGACCTGGCGACAGGATCCTGGACATAGGTGAGTCTCACCTGGCTGGGGCGGCTGGGAGGTCCCAGGTGGGCCTCACCTGTGCCCCCTCCCCTGCAGATATCCCGATGTCCGTGGGCATCATCGACCCCCGCGCGAACCCGACCCAGCTCAACACCGTGGAGTTCCTGTGGGACCCCTCCAAGAGGACCTCGGTCTTCATCCAGGTGAGCACAGGTGGGCACTGTCCTGCATCCAGGTGAGGACAGGTAGGGTATGTCCTGCATCCAGGTGAGGGACAGGTGGGCTGTGTCCCAGATCCATGTGAGGGACAGGTGGGCACTGCCTCACATGCAGGTGAGGGACAGGTGGGCAGTGCCTCATACCCAGGTTAGGGACAGATGGGCTCTGTTCTGTATCCAAGTGGGCTCTGTCCCACACTCAGGCAAGGGACAGGTGGGCTCGGTCCTGCATCCAGGTAGGGGACAGGTGGGCTCTGTCCACACCCAGGTGAGGCACAGTGGGCTCTATCTCACAGCCAGGTGAGGGACGCTGGGATCTGTACCACACCCAGGTGAGGCACAGCTGGGCCCTGTCCCACAGCCAGGTGAGGCCCAGCTGGGCCCTGTCCTATATCCAGGTTGGCTCTGTCCCACACCCAGGTGAGGCACAGGTGGGCTCAGTCCCACATCCAGGTGGGGCACAGTGGGCTCTGTCCTATATCCAGGTGGGCCCTGTCCCACATCCAGGTGAGGCACAGCTGGGCCCTGTCCTGTATCCAGGTGGGCTCTGTCCTGTATCCAGGTGGGCTCTGTCCTATATCTGGGTGGGCCCTGTCCCACACCCAGGTGAGGCGCAGGTGGGCTCAGTCCCACATCCAGGTGGGGCACAGTGGGCTCTGTCCTTTATCTGGGTGGGCCCTGTCCCACACCCAGGTGAGGCCCAGCCGGGCCCTGTCCCTCGCTGGCCGCCCCACAGAAGGCTCACCTGTCCGCAGGTGCACTGCATCAGCACAGAGTTCACGCTGCGCAAGCACGGCGGCGAGAAGGGCGTTCCCTTCCGCGTGCAGATCGACACCTTCCGCGAGAACGAGAGCGGCGAGTACACCGAGCACCTGCACTCTGCCAGCTGCCAGATCAAGGTGTTCAAGGTACCTGAGCGCCCACCTGGGCCCACCTGGGCTCTGTCCTGCTTCGTACCAGTGCCTCTGGAACCTCCCACCTGTAGGAAGAACAGCCCCAGCTGATGGTGCAGGGTACAGATGGTGCAGGTGGAGCAGGTGGTGTAGGTTGTGCAGGTGGCACAGGTGATGTAGGTGGTGCAGATGATGCTGATGGTGCAGGTGGAATAGGTGGTATAGGTGGGGCAGGTAGTGCAGGTGATGCAGGTAGTGCAGGTGGTGTTGCAGGTAGTGCAGGTGGTGTAGGTGATGCAGGTGGCACAGGTGATGTAGATGGCACAGGTGGTGTAGGTGGTGCAGGTGGTACAGGTGGTGTAGATGCTGCAGGTGGTGCAGGTGGTACAGGTGGTGTAGGTGCAGGTGATGCAGGTAGTGCAGGTGGTGTAGGTGATGCAGGTGGTTCAGTAGGTGCAGGTGGTGCAGGTGGCACAGGTGATGTAGATGGCGCAGGTGATGTAGGTGGTGCAGGTGGTACAGGTGGTGTAGATGCTGCAGGTGGTGCAGGTGGTACAGGTGGTGCAGGTGGCACAGGTGATGTAGATGCTGCAGGTGGTGCAGGTGGTACAGGTGGTGTAGGTGCAGCTGATGTAGGTGGTGCAGGTGACACAGGTGGTGCAGGGTGCAGGTGATGTGGGTGGTGCAGGTATTTAGGTGATGCAGGTGGGGTGGATGGTGAAGGTGATGTAGGTTGCACAGGTGGTGCCAGTGGTGCGCGTAACGCAGGTGGTGCAGGGTGCAGGTGATGCAGGTGGCGTAGATGCTGCAGGTGGTGCAGTAGGTGTAGGTGGCGCAGGTGGAGCAGGTGGTGCAAATGATGTAGGTGCTGCAGGTGCTGCAGGGTGCAGGTGATGCAGGTGGCACAGGTGGAGCAGGTGGTGTAGGTGATGCAGGTGGTGTAGATGGAGCGGGTGATGCAGCTGGTGTAGGTGATGAAGGTGATGCAGGGTGCAGGTGGAGCAGGTGATGCAGGTGGTGTAGGTGTTGCAGGTGGAGCAGGTGGTGCAGGTGGTACAGGTAGTGCAGGTGCAGGGAGGGGTCATTCCCGCTCTGGTCAAACCTTGGGGTGCCCGTGACTCCACCCCACCTGCAGCACCCCCAGACTGTCACCTTGGCTCCTCTTTTCACACCTGTTCACCTGAGGGGTCAGTGGGGTTTGGGGTCCTGCTCTGCCCTCCCCTGCTCCACCTGGGACAGATTCCATCACCTGTGAGTGCAGGTAGAGGTGAGTTTAAGGGGATTTCTGCAGGGGTCTGCCAAGGGGAACACCTGGATACCTGTGGAGGTTCCACATCCGTGCTTCCCATGGGATTTGAGTTACAGGTGGATTCAGGTGGTTACAGGTGTGTGCAGAGTGGCTACAGCTGTATTCAGGTGGTCACAGGTGTCTCCGGACGGTTACAGGTGTATTCAGGTGGTTACAGGTATCTCCAGGTGGTTACAGGTATCTCCAGGTGATTGCAAGTGTATTCAGGTGGTTACAGGTGTATTCAGGGAGTTACAGGTGTATTCAGGTGATTACAGGTGTGTTCATGTGATTACAGGTGTGTTCAGATGGTTACAGGCGTCTCTAGGTGGTTACAGGGGATTTCAAGTGGTTACAGGTGTCTCCAGGCGTCTTCAGGTGGTTACAGATGTCTCCAGGTGGTTACAAGTGTATTTCAGGTGTTGCAGGTATATTCAAGTGGTTACAGGTGTGTTCAGGTGGTTACAGGTGTATTCAGGTGGTTACAGGTGTCTCCAGGTGGTCACACCCCTATCCCTGCAGACGCCCTCAGGACAAGCTTCTCCCCAAACTCCTTTTCCCTGTGCCAAGCACGAGGAGGGCTGAGTCACCTGTGCCACCTGAGTCACCTGTGCCACCTGTGGGTGTCCCCACACCTGTTCCACCTGTGGGTGTCGCACACCTGTGTCACCTGTGGGTGTCCCACACACCTGTGAGTGTCCCCACACCTCTGGGTGTTCCCCACACCTGTGCCACCTCTGTGTGTCCCACACACCTGTGCCACCTGTGGGTATCCCCACACCTGTGGTTGTCCCTACACCTGTGTGTGTCCCCACACCTGTGCCAACTGTGGGTGTCCCACACACCTGTGGGTGTTCCTACACCTGTGTGTGTCCCCACACCTGTCACACCTGTCCCTCGGCAGCCCAAAGGAGCGGACCGGAAGCAGAAGACGGACAGGGAGAAGATGGAGAAGCGAACGCCGCACGAGAAGGAGAAGTACCAGCCCTCGTATGAGACCACCATCCTGACCGAGGTGAGCTCACCTGCCCACCTGCCTCACCTGCTCACCTGCCTCACCTGCTCACCTGCCTCACCTGGCTGCAGGCAGCAGGGCTGGGCTGCTGCCAGACCCCAGCTCAAGGTGTTCGTACCTGCCAGGCAGAACCGGGGCAGAGGAGGTGCTCTGTACCTGCAGAAGGGCTTTGGGGACATTACTGACCTGAGCTGGGCAGGTGTGTGCAGGGCCAGGTGTGTGGGGTTGAAGCTGTGTGCAGGGCCAGGTGTGTGGGGTTGGATGTATGTGTGGGTGCAGGTGTGTGCAGGGCAAGGCCAAATGTGTGGGGTTGCAGGTGTGTGCAGATGTGTGTGTGCATTGAAGCTGTGTGCAGGTGGAGTTCCAGGTGTTTATAGGGCCAGGTGTGCGCGAGGCCAGGTGTGTAGGTGTGTGAGGTTGGATGTATGTGTGGGTCCAGGTGTGTGTAGGGCAAGGCCAGGTGTGGGGTTGAAGGTGTGTGGGGTTGAAGGTGTGTGCAGGGCCAGGTGTGTGCAAGGCCAGATGTGTGCAGATGTGTGTTTGCATTGCAGCTGTGTGCAGGTACAGTTCCAGGTGCGTGCAGGTGTAGACCAGGAGTGTTCAGGTGTGTGCAGTTGCAGACCAGGTGTGTGCAGGTGTGTGTGTAGTGCAGGTGTGTGCAGGTACAGTTCCAGGTGTGTGCAGGTACAGCCCAGTTGTGTATGGGTGTGTGTGTGCAATGCAGCTGTGAACAGGTGCAGTTCCAGATGTGTGTAGGGCCAGGTATGTGCATGGTTCCAGGTGTATGCAGGTGTGTGTGCAGCCCAGCTATGTGCAGGTGCAGTCCTAGGTGTGTTCAGGTGTGTGTGTGCAGTACAGGTGTGTTCAGCTGCATACAGGTGCAGCGCAGGTGTGCAGTGCAGGTGCAGTTCCAGGTGTGTTCAGGTGTGTGCAGGTGCAGCCCAGGTGTGTGCATGATCCCAGGTGTGCAGGTGCAGCCCAGGTGTGTTCAAGTGCAGTCCCAGGTGTGTTCAGGTGTGTGTTTGCAGTGCAGGTGCAGCCCAGGTGTGCAGGTGCAGCCCAGGTGTGTTCAGGTGTGTGCAGGTACAGTCCCAGGTGTGCTCAGGTGTGTGCAGTGCAGGTGTGCTCAGGTGTGCAGGTGCTGCCCAGGTGCTGTCCAGGTGTGTTCAGGTGTGTGCGTGCAGTGCAGATGTGTGCAGGTGTGCTCAGGTGTGCAGGTGCAGCCCAGGTGTGCTCAGGTGTGTGTGTGCAGTGCAGATGTGTGCAGGTGTGCTCAGGTGTGCAGGTGCAGCCCAGGTGTGCTCAGGTGTGCAGGTGCAGCCCGGGTTGCCCTGAGCTCACCTGCCGTGCCCTCAGTGCTCGCCCTGGCCCGAGGTCACCTACGTGCCCAACGCGCCCTCGCCCGGCTTCAACAGCTCCCACAGCAGCTTCTCCATCGGGGACGGGTGAGCGCGAACTGGGAATACTGGGAGCGCTGGGAGTGCTGGGAGTGCCAGACTGGGAGCGCTGGGAGTGCTGGGAGTGCCAAACTGGGAATGCTGGGAGCACTGGGAGTGCTGGGGATGCCAGACTGGGACTGGGAGTGCTGGGAGTGCTGGGACTGGGAATACTGGGAGCACTGGGAGTGCCAGAGTGGGAATGCTGGGAGTGCCAGACTGGGAGCACTGGGAGTGCTGGGAGTGCCAGACTGGGAGTGCGGGGAATGCTGGGAGTGCTGGGACTGGGAGTGCTGGGAGCACTGGGAGTGCCGGACTGGGAGTGCTGGGACTGGGGGTGGGTCAGACTGGGGGGTGGTACCAGGAACACCGCAGGGACACCCCAGTGACACCAGTACCATCCTAGTGTCATCCCAGTGACACCAGTGCTATCCCAGTGACATCCCAGTGACCCCAGTGTCATCCTGATGCCATCCCAGTGACTCCAGTATCATCCCAGTATCATCCCAGTGCCATCCCAGTTATCCCACTACCACCCCTGTGCCACCCCAGTGTCATCCCGGTGATCCCAGTAACACCCCAGTGCCATCCAGTGACAGTGACACCAGTGTCCCACTGGGACGGTGTCCCCAGTACCCAGTCTGACAGGTGTCCCAGTCTGACAGTGACCCCAGTGTCCAGTGATCCCAGTGCCCTGTTACAGTGCCCCCAGTGTCTCCAGTGTCCCCAGTACCCCAGTGACCCATGTCCCAGTATCCCAGTGTCCAGTGTCCCCAGTGACCCCGTGTCCCAGTGTCCTCAGTGTCCCAGTGATCCGTGTCCCCAGTACCCCACTGACCCCTGTCCCAGTGACCCATATCCCAGTGCCCCTAGTGCCCCGTGTCCCTTTGTCCCAGTGACCCCGTGTCCCCCTGTGCCAGTGTCCCCAGTGCCCCATGTCCATCTGTCCCAGTACCCTAGTGACCCATGTCCCTCTGTCCCTCTGTCCCAGTGACCCGTATCCCAGTGCCCCTAGTGCCCTGTGTCCCTTGGTCCCAGTGGCCCCAGTGTCCCCCTGTCCCCATGTCCCCAGTGACCCATGTCCCTCTGTCCAATGACCCTCTGTCCCAGTGGCCCCCTGTCCCCATGTCCCCAGTGACCCATGTCCCTCTGTCCAATGACCCTCTGTCCCAGTGTCCCCCTGTCCCCATGTCCCCAGTGACCCTGTGACCCTCTGTCCCAGTGTCCCCCTGTCCCCGTGTCCCCAGTGCCCCATGTCCGTCTGTCCCTCTGTCCCAGTACCCCAGTGACTGTGTCCCTCTGTCCCTCTGTCCCCAGCAGCGGGTCCCCGAGCCACCAGCCCGACCCCCCCGCGCCCCTGGCTGACGTAAGTACCTGCCCAGGTACACCTGGGGCTCCACAGGGGACACTTGGGGTGACCTGCACACACCTGGGGAACCTGGGGGGAAATTCCCACCTGTGCTGGCCCCCCCTGAGCTCACCTGTCCCTCTGGAAAAATGGTTCCACATCACCTGAAGACATTTCCAGGTCACCTCTGAGATCATCACCTCATCCCACCTGCCCAGGGGTTCATTCCCCACCTGTGCTGCCCCACCCTGAACTCGCCTGAGCTCAGCTGTGCCTGAGCACTTCCACACTTCCACATCACCTGGAGACATTTCCAGTCCCACCTGCTCAGGGGTTCATTCCCCACCTGTGCTGGCCCACCCTGGGCTCACCTGAGCTCACCTGTGCCCCTGGGCTGGCCAGCCAGGTCACCTGGCAGCACCTGTGTCCCCCCAGACGCTGCTGCCCACCTGGAGCCCGCAGGAGGCTCAGCAGTGGCTGCACCGCAACCGCTTCTCCACCTTCTCACGGCTCTTCAGGAACTTCTCAGGTGAGTTCTGCCCTCACCTGGGCAGGGTCACCTTCCCTCCTGTCACCTGGGCCGGGTCATCTCTCCTCACCTGGGCAGGGTCACCTCACTTGGGCTGGGTCACCTCCCCTCACCTGGGCAGGGTCACCTCACCTGGGCTGGGTCACCTCACCTGGGCCGGGTCACCTCCCCTCACCTGGGCTGGGTCACCTCACCTGGGCAGGGTCACCTCCCCTCACCTGGGCAGGGTCACCTCACCTGGGCTGGGTCACCTCACCTGGGCAGGGTCACCTTCCCTCCTGTCACCTGGGCCGGGTCACCTCTCCTCACCTGGGCTGGGTCACCTCACCTGGGCTGGGTCACCTCCCCTCACCTGGGCAAGGCCACCTGCCCTCACTTGGACTGGGTTACCTCCTCTCACCCTTTGGGGTGAATTTAGGGCAAATTTGAGGTGAATCTGGGGTGAATTGGGGGTGACTTTAGGGTGACTTTTGGGGTGAATCTGGGTGAATTAAGGATGAATTTTGGCTGAATTTGGGGTAAATCTAGGGTGAATTTGGGAAGAATTTGGGGTTGAATTTGTGGTGAATCTGGGATGAATTTTGGGGTGAATTTCGGGATGAATTTGGGGTGAATTTTGGAGTGAATCTGGGATGAATTTGGGGGTGAATCTAGGGCTACTCTGGGGTGAATATGGGGTGAATTTTGGAGTGAATCTGAGTGAATTTGAGGGGTGAATCTGGGGTGAATTTTGGCTGAATTTGGGGTAAATCTGGGGTGAATTTGGGGTGAATTTTGGGGTGAGTCTGGAAGGTGAATCTGGGGTGAATTTGGGGTTGAATTTGTGGTGAATCTGGGATGAATTTAGGATGAATTGTGGGGTGAATCTAGGGTGACTGGGATGAATTTGGGATGAATTTTAGAGTGAATCTAGGGCGACTTTGGGGTGAATCTGGGGTGAATTTGTGGTGAGTGGGTGAATTTAGGATGAATTTAGGATGAATTTTAGGGTGAATCTGTGTGAATTTGGGGTGAGTTTGGGGTTGGATTTGGGGTGAATCGGGTGAATTTTTGGGTGAATCTGGGATGAATTTGGAGGTGAACCTAGGGCAACTCTGGGGTGAATTTGAGGTGAAAATGGGGTGAATTTGGGATGAATTTTGGGGTGAATCTGGGGTGAATTTTGGGGTGAATATGAGGGGTGAATATGGGGTGAATTTTGGAGTGAATCTGAGTGAATTTGAGGGGTGAATCTGGGGTGAATTTTGGCTGAATTTGGGGTAAATCTGGAGTGAATTTAGGGTGAATTTGGGATGAATTTTGGGGTGAATCTGGATGAATTTTGGGTGAATCTGGGGTGAATTTTGGGGGTAAGTCTGGGGTGAATTTGGGATTAATTTTGGGGTGACTGGGATGAATTTAGGGTGAATTTGGAGTGAATCTGGGGTGAATTTTGGGGTGAATCTGGGGTGAATTTTGGGGTGAATCTGGGATGAATTTTGGGGTGGATTTGGGGGGTAAATCTGGGAAGAATTTGGGGTGAATTTGAGTGAATTTTGGGTGACTGGGTTGAATTTGGAATGAATCTGGAGTGAATTTTGGGGTGAATTTGGAGTGAATCTGGGGTGAATTTGGGGGTAAATCTGGAGTGAATTTGGGGGTAAATCTGGGGTGAATTTTGGGTGTCTGGGGTGAATTTGGAATGAATCTGGGGTGAATTTTGGGGTGAATCTGGGATGAATTTGGGATGAATTTTGGGGTGACTCTGGGTGGATTTGGGGCTTTCCCAGGGGCAGACCTGCTGAAGCTGACACGGGAGGACGTGATCCAGATCTGCGGCCCCGCCGACGGCATCCGGCTCTTCAACGCCCTCAAGGGCAGGTGGGGTCACCTGGGGGGGCTGGGACACACCTGGGGGGCCAGGATTGACCTGGGGGGGTGGTTGGGGTCACCTGGGGGCGTGCGACACACCTGGGGGGGGTGGGACACACCTTGGTGGGGGTCAGGAGTCACTTGAGGAACCTGGGATTCACCTGGCCCAGGCTTTTCCCATCCGAGTCAGGAATTTAGAGGAACTTTGGGGATGGAAGTCCAGGTTGGAAAGAGCAATTGGGGATTGGAAATTAGGGGTTAGGGATTGGGAATTACGGATGGAGAATTAGGGATTAGGAATTGGGAATGGGGGATTGGAAATTAGGGATTAGGAATTGGGGATTAGGGATTGGAAATTGAGAAGTGGAGATTAGGAATTGGGAGTTAGGAATTAGGTATTGGGAATTGAGAATTAGGGATTAAGGATTGGGAGTTGAGAATTAGGGATTAGGAACTGGGAATTAGGGATTAGGAATTACAAATTGGGAATTGGGAACTCTTTGAGTTTGAGACTCCAGGACTGGAGCCCCAGGCCAGGAGCTCCTGCTGCTCCAGGTGCTCTCTCCACCTGGGACCTGCCCAGAAGGTTCCCAAAAGGGGATGGATGTTCCTCACACCTTGCCCTAAAATCAGGGGTTGGACACACCTGGAGCATTTGGGAGGATGAGAGGGACAGGGAGCCCAGGTGGGAATGGCTGAGGAGCATCTCAGGCACCTGAGAGGGACAGGGGTTAGGGTTATGGTGGGAATTCCCAGATGGGAATTCCACAGGAGCATAATGAGACACTTGACAGGGACAGGGGGAGTCCCTCAGGTGGGAATTCCAGAGAGGCATCATCAGACACCTGACAGGGACAGAGTGCCCAGGTGGGAATGGCTGGGAATCATCATCAGACATCTGACAGGGACCGGGAACACCTGCAGGTGGGAATGGCTGAGGAGCATCTCTGGTACCTGACAGGGACAGGGGTTAGGGTGGGAATTCCCAGGTGGGAATTCCAGAAGAGCATCAAACACCTGAGAGGGACAGGGGAGCCCCTCCAGGTGAGAGTTCCAGGGAAGCATCAACAGGTACCTGCCAGGGACAGAGTGTCCAGGTGGGAATTCCACAGGAGCATAATGAGACACCTGACAGGCACAGGGGAGTCCCTCAGGTGAGAATCCCAGGGAAATCATCATCAGACACCTGCCAGGGACAGAATGTCCAGGTGGGAATGGCTGAGGAGCATCTCAGGTACCTGACAAGGACAGGGGAGCCCCTCCAGGTGGGAATTCCAAGGAAGCACCATCAGACACCTGGCAGGGACAGGGAGCTTCTCCAGGTGGGAATGGCTGAGGAGCATCATTAGATACTTGACAGAGACAGAGTGTCCAGGTGGGAATTCCAGAGAGGCATCCTCAGGTACCTGCCAGGGATAGGGGAGCCCCTCCAGGTGGGAATTCCAGGGAATCATCAACAAGTACCTGCCAGGGACAGAGTGTCCAGGTGGGAATTCCAGGGAAGCATCCTCTGGTACCTGCCAGGGACAGGGTTAGGGTGGGAATTCCCAGGTGGGAATTCCAGAAGAGCATCCTCAAACACCTGACAGGGACAGGGAGCACCTGCAGGTGGGAATTCCAGGGAAATCATCATCAGACACCTGCCAGGGACAGAATGTCCAGGTGGGAATGGCTGAGGAGCATCTCAGGTACCTGACAGGGACAGAGGAGCCCCTCCAGGTAGGAATTCCAGAGGAGCATTCTCAGGTACCTGATAGGGACAGAATGTCCAGGTGGGAATGTCTGAGGAGCATCATTAGATACTTGACAGAGTGTCCAGGTGGGAATTCCAGGGAAGCATCCTCAGACACCTGCCAGGGACAGGGGAGCTTCTCCAGGTGGGAATTCCAGGGACGCATCAACAGGTACCTGACAGGGACAGGGAGCACCTGCAGGTGGGAATGGCTGAGGAGCATCATCAGGTACCTGCCAAGGACAGGGGTTAGGGTTAGGGTGGGAATTCCAGAGGAGCATCCTCAGGTACCTGACAGGGACAGGGGAGCACCTGCAGGTGGGAATTCCAGGGAAGCATCATCAGACACCTGCCAGGGACAGAATGTCCAGGTGGGAGTTCCAGAGGAGCACAGTGAGACACCTGAGAGGGACAGGGAGCTTCTCTAGGTGGAATGGCTGGGAAGCATCATCAGACACCTGACAGGGACAGTGGAGCTTCTCCAGGTGGGAATGGCTGGGGAGCATCTCAGGTGCCTCAGGTGGGAATTCCAGGAAAGGCTGACCAGGGTCAGTGAGGGGACACCTGGAGCTCGGGTGGGAGCTCACAGGGGTTGGGATGGGCTCACCCAGCTGCTCCAGGGCACACCTGGGGCTCAGGTGGGAGCTCACAGGGGTTGGGATGGGCTCCCCCAGCTGCTCCAGGGGACACCTGGGGCTCAGGTGGGCAAGCCCAGGGGTTGGGGATGGGCTCCCCCAGCTCCCCCTGGGGACACCTGTCAGGGGGAGGGGCAGGGCAGGGGCAGCCCCAGGTGACCCTCACCTGTCCCAGGATGGTGCGGCCCCGCCTGACCATCTACGTGTGCCAGGAGTCGCAGCAGGTGAGGGAGCCCCAGCACGAGCACGAGGACGGAGATGGAGGCAGCGGCACCTTCTTTGGTGAGGGGGGCAGGGGGGCACCTGGGGGGGCTGGGACTCACCTGGGGGGTGGGAGCTCACCTGGGGAGAGGCTGGGACTCACCTGGGGGGGGGCTGGGAACACACCTGGGGGTGCTGGGACTCACCTGGGGAGGGGCTGGGAACACACCTGGGAGGTCTGGGAGCTCACCTGGGGGGCACCTGGGGGGGCAGGGAGCACACCTTGGGGGGGATTGGGAATCTGGGATCACACCTGGAGGGCTTGAAGCTCACCTGGAGAGCAGGAACCTCACCTGTGGAATTGGGAATCGGATCATTCCTGGGGGAGCTGGGACTCACCTGGGGGGTGGGGGAGGGGCTGGTTTCCAGCATTCCTGTCCTGCTGGGCACAAACCCACCTGAACAGTGCAGGTGCTGCTGCTCAGGGACACGGGGAGGTCTGTGGGGACAGGGGTGGAAATGCCACACAGGACACAGTGACAGAGCATGGTGCCAGGCAGGACACGGGTGACAGATGGGACAACAGGGGTGACAGGACGTGGTGCCAGGTGGGTCACAGGTGACAGACAGAACACAGTGACAGGACATGGGTAATGGGCAGGACACGGTGCCAGGCAGGTCCCTGTTCGGAGCACAGCAGTGCCCAGCCCAGGTGGCCATGGTGGCATACCTGGGCAGGTGTGGCTGTGCTGTCAGGTGTCCCGTGCCCACAGTGTACCACACATGTACCTGGAGGAGCTGGCACACCTGTTCTGGGTGACAGACAGGACATGGTGACAGAGAGGATAGGGGTGCCAGGCAGGACACAGGTGACAGGACACAGGTGAGAAACAGGTCACAGTGCCAGGGAGGTCACTGTGCCAGGCAGGACACGGTGACAGACAGGTGCCTATTCCAAGTGCAGCTGTGCCCAGCCCAGGTGTGGCTGTGCTGGCACACCTGTCAGGTGTAGCTGTGCTGGCACACCTGGGCAGGTGTCAGGTATCCTGTGCCCACAGTGTACCACGCCGTGTACCTGGAGGAGCGGGCACGGCTGTTCTGGGTGACAGACAGGACACAGGTGAGAGACAGGACATGGGTGACAGGACACCGTGCCAGGCAGGTCCCTGTTAGGAGCAGAGCAGTGCCCAGCCCAGGAAGCTGTGCTGGCACACCTGGGCTCACCTCTCAGGTGTGCCATGCCTGCAGTGTACCACGCTGTGTACCTGGAGGAGCTGGCACAGCTGGGCAGGTGTAGCTGTGCTGGCACACCTGGGCACACCTGGCAGGTGTAGCTGTGCTGTGCTGGCACACCTGGGCTCACCTGGCAGGTGCCCTGTGCCTGCAATGTACCACGCCGTGTACCTGGAGGAGCTGGCACAGCTATCAGGTGTGGCTGTGCTGTGGTGGCACACCTATCAGGTGTGGCTGTAGTGGCACACTGGGGCAGGTGTGGCCATGCTGGCACACCTGGGCACACCTGTCAGGTGTAGCTGTGCTGTGCTGGCACACTGGGGCAGGTGTGGCCATGCTGGCACACCTGGGCTCACCTGTCAGGTGTAGCTGTGCTGTGCTGGCACACTGGGGCAGGTGTAGCTGTGCCATGCTGGCACACCTGGGCTCACCTGTCGTGTGCCATGCCCGCAGTGTACCACGCCGTGTACCTGGAGGAGCTGACGGCGGCCGAGCTGGCAGAGAAGCTGGCACAGCTGTTCCGGGTGCCCGCCCAGCACATCCAGCACATCTACAAACAGGGCCCCACGGGCATCCACGTGCTGGTCAGCGACCAGGTAACGCCACCTGGCTCAGGTAACCTCCGCCTGCCCCAGGGAATGCCCACCTGCCCCAGGGCACACCTGGCACCAACCAGGTAATGCCCACCTGCCCCAGGTAATGCCCACCTGCCTCACAAGCACACTTAGCAGCACCAGGTAATGCCCACCTGCCCCAGAGCACACCTGGCAGTGCCAGGTAACCCCACCTGCCCCAGGGAATGCCCACCTGCCCCAGAGCACACCTGGCAGTGCCAGGTAACCCCACCTGCCCCAGGTAATGCCCACCTCCCTCACAAGCACACCTGGCAGTGACCAGGTAATGCCCACCTGCCCCAGGGAATGCCCACCTGCCCCATGAGCACACCTGGCACACCTGGCAGTGACCAGGTAACCCCACCTGCCCCAGGGCACCCCTGGCAGCAATCCCCCTTCCCCAGGGCACACCTGGCAGTGCCAGGTAATGCCCACCTGCCCCAGGTGACCCTCACGTGCCCCAGATAAGGCCCACCTGCCCCAGGTAATGCCCCCCTGCCTCACAAGCACACCTGGCAGCACCAGGTAATGCCCCCGTGTCCCAGGGCACACCTGGCACCAACCAGGTAACCCTCACCTGCCCCAGGTAATGCCCCCTGTCCCACAAGCTCACCTGGCAGTGCCAGGTAATGCCCACCTGCTCCAGGTAATGCCCACCTGCCGCAGGGCACACCTGGGGGCACCCTGGGGGCAGCATCACCTGTGCAGTGCTGGGAAGGGCCCAAATCAATGAAATGTTCCTGGCTGGTGCTCCCAGAGCTCTCACCTGAGCTCTCACCTGAGCTCCCACCTGAGCTCCCACCTGAGCTCCCACCTGAGCACCTACCTGGGCACCTCCCGCCCTTTGGAACCCAGATTTTTCCCCAAAAAGCCCTAAATTGGAGCTGTTTGGGGTTTTTCCAGATGATCCAGAACTTCCAGGATGAATCCTGCTTCGTCCTGGACACCCTGAAAGGTGTGTGAGTACCTGGGCTCTGCTTGGGCCACGCCTGAGTCACAGGTGTGACTCCTCACACACCTGTGTGCCACCCCTGGCCCCTCCCAGCTCCCCTCACCTGTCCTGGGCTTCCCTTGCAGCCGAGACCAACGACAGCTACCACATCATCCTGAAATAGGGACAGGTGAGGGACAGGTGAGGAGCACCTGCGGCCTCTCAGCACACCTGGACACCCTCCACGCCCAGCACGAGGACACGGCAGAGATTTGGGAACCCCCAGGTGTGCTCACCTGGCCACCCTCCCTTGAAAGGACAACCTGGAAAGCCTCTGGACCCCCCCCCCCCAGGTGTTGTTACCTGGACACTTTCCTGGAAAAGAACCCCTGAAAAGCCTCTGGAGATCCCCCAGGTGTGGTCACCTGGTCACTACCCTCACAGGGAACACCTGGAAAGCTTCTGGAGAGCCCCCAGGTGTGGTCACCTGGACATGCCCCCTCACAGGGAACACCTGGAGAGCCCCAGGTGTGCTCACCTGGCCACCCTCTCTCAAAAGGAACATCTGGAAAGCCTCTGGAGAGCCTGCAGGTGTTGTTACCTGGCCGCCCCTCCTCCCAGAGAGCACCTGGACACCTTCTGGAGAGGCCCCCAGGTGTTGTTACCTGGCCACTCCCCCTCAAAAGGAACACCTGGAGAGCCCCCAGGTGTGCTCACCTGACCACCACCCTTGAAAAGAACACCTGGAAAGCTTCTGGAGAGCCCCCAGGTGTTTTCACCTGGTCACCACCCTCAAAAGAAACACCTGGAGAGCCTTTGGAGGCCCCTCAGGTGTGGTCACCTGCCACCACCCTTGCAATGAACACCTGGACACCTTCTGGAGAGGCCCCCAGGTGTTGTTACCTGGCCACTCTCCTGGAAAAGAACACCTGTAATGCCTCTGGAGATCCCCCAGGTGTGCTCACCTGGTCACTACCCTCACAGGGAACACCTGGAAAGCTTCTGGAGACCCCCCAGGTGTTGTTACCTGACCACTTCCCCTTGAAAGGAACACCTGGAAATGCTCTGGAGACCCCCAGGTGTTGTTACCTGGCCACTCTCCTTGGAAAGAACACCTGGAAAGCCTCTGGAGAGCCCCCAGGTGTGCTCACCTGGCAGCCCTGCCCGCAGGTGCCTCCTGGCATGGACAGGACGCTGCTCCTCTGCTGCAGCTCTGGGGCACCAGGTGTGCTCCCACCTGGCACAGGTGTTGCCTCCAGGTGGGTGCAGGTGTGATCTCGTGAGGTCATCAAGAATTCCGGATTTAATTATGGAAAACTGGAGGATAAAGGGATAACTGGGGGTGGGGGGAGGGCAGGGGGCATTGCTGGGTGTTTTTGGGGAGAAAAGCGAAGATTTGGCTCTTTCTGCTGAGTGTGTGCAGTGATTGAAGCGGCTCTGGGCAGGTGTGCAGGTGAGGGATGTGCCCAGGGGTGGGAGGTGAGCCCAGATCCCTCAGACCTGGATGCCCCAGGTGGTACCAGCTCAGCCCATCAGGTGTTTCAGGCAAACAAAAACAGGAAAAAAGACAATAAAACCCAAGGATTTGATTAAATAAAGCCGGGGTGGGATCCAGGTGTGGCAGGTGCTGGCTTAGGTGACACCTGTGACAGCCTGACAGTGCAGGGGGGCAGCACCACCCCAGGACTGAGCAGCACCTCCAGAATCACCCCAAACATCTCCCCAGAACCATCCCCAGGACCACACAAAAATCACCCAAAACCACCCCCAGGAAATCCCCAAAATCACCCCCAAAATCACCTCCACAAATCCCCCAGGACCACTCAAAAATCACTCAAAACCACCCCCAGGAAATCCCCAAAATCAGCCCCAAACCACCCCCAGAATCACCCCCAAAAATCCCCCAAGACTTCACAAAAATCCCTGAAAACCACCCCCAAACCACCCCAAATAATCCCCCAAATCAGCCCCAAACTACCCCAAAATCAGCCCCAAAAATTCCCCAAGAAATCCCCAAAATCAGCCCCAAAGCACCCCCAAGAAATCCCCAAAATCAGCTCCAAAAATCCCCCAAGACCACACAAAAATCACTCAAAGCCAGCCCCAAGTAATCCCCAAAATCAGCCCCAAACCACCCCAAAATCTCCCAGATCGCCTCAGGATGGTCCCACAATCACCTTGAAATATCCCTGAATCTTTCCTCTAAATTACCCCCTCACCACCCAAAATTACCCAAAAATCATCCACGGATCACCCCAAATCATCTCAAATTCATCCCCAAATCGCCTCAAATTCATCCCGAAATTACCCCAAATCACCTCAGATTCATTCCAAAATCCCCCCAGATTACCCCAAATTCATCTCTAAGTCCCCCAAAATTACCCCCAATTCATCCCCAAATTACCCCAAATCACCTCAAATTACCCCAAATTCATCCCCAAGCCCCCCATGCCCAGGGGGTGTCAGGGCTGGGGCACCCCAGGGCTGATCCTGGCTCAGGTGGGGCACACCTGGCACACCCTCATTTGCAGTTTGTACCTGGGATTGCACCTGGAAAAGGTTGGGGGGGGACACGGGGGGGTGTTTGATCCTTTAGTTCCCCTTTCCTTGGATCCTTCAATTCCCTTTCCTTGGATCCTTCAATTCCCTTTCCTTGGATCCTTTACTTCCCCTTTCCTTGGATCCTTTGATTCCCTTTTCCTTGGATCCTTTGATTCCCTTTTTGATCTTTTAATTCCTTTTTCCATGGATCCTTTAATTCCCCTTTCTTTGGATCCTTTAATTCCCTTTTTGATCCTTTAATTCCTTTTTCCTTGGATCCTTTACTTCCCTTTTCCTTGGATCCCTCAATTCCCTTTCCTTGGATCCTTTATTTTCCCTTTCCTTGGATCCTTTAATTCCCTTTCCTTGCATCCTTCAATTCCCCTTTCCTTGGATCCTTCAATTCCCTTTCCTTGGATCCTTCAATTCCCTTTCCTTGGATCCTTTAATTCCCTTTCCTTGGGTCCTTCAATTCCCTTTTCCTTGGATCCCTCAATTCCCTTTCCTTGGATCCTTTGATTCCTTTTTCCTTGGATCCTTTAATTCCCTTTCCTTGGATCCTTCAATTCCCTTTTCCTTGGATCCCTCAATTCCCTTTCCTTGGATCCTTTATTTTCCCTTTCCTTGGATCCTTAAATTCCCTTTCCTCGGTCAGTGACTCCCAGGTGTGTTCTCAGTTCTGCCCCAGACTCCAAACCCACCTGGGGGCTCCAAAGGCAGCAGTGATCAGTGGGGGAAAGGATTTCAACAAACAGAACAAAATTGGTAAAAAAGGTACAGAAGGGCCTGGGGGTCCTGGCAGAAATTAACCCTGTGCTGGCTACAACCAGGGCATTCCCCACCCCTTACTGCAGTTGATCCACACCATTCCTCATCCCACAGCTTGCACTCACCCTTTACTCCATCCACACCATTCCTTATCCCACAGCTTGCACTCACTCTTTACACCACCCACACCATTCCTTATACCAAACTTTGCACTCATCTTTACAATACCCACACCATTCCTTATCCCACAGCTTGCACTCACCCTTTATTCTGCACCATCCCTTATCTCACACCTTGCATTTCCCCATTACACAATCCATGTCATTTCTTATCCCAAACCTTGCATTTACCCTTTATTCAATACTGTCCACATTCTTCTTTATCCCACACCTTGCATTTACTCTTTATTCTACACTGTCCACATTCTTCTTTATCCCACACCTTGCATTTACTCTTTATTCTACACTGTCCACACCATTCCTTATCCCACACCTTGCACTGGTTCTTTATTCTGCACCATCCATGTCATTCCTTAACCCAAACCTTGCACTCACCCTTTACTCCATCCACATAGTTCCTTGCACTCACCTTTTTTTCTGCACCTTGCATTTACTCTTTATTTTATTTCTCTCCACACCTTGCATTTACTCTTTATTCTACCCTGTCCACACCACTCCTTATCCCACACCTTGCACTCATCCTTTTTTCTGCACCATCCACACCATTCCTTATCCCAAACTTTGCACTCATCTTTACACCATCCACTTCATTCCTTATCCTACACCTTGCACTGGTCCTTTTTTCCATACCTTGTCCCATACCTTGCATTTACGCTTTATTCTGCACCATCAGTGTAATTTCTTACTCCAAACCTTGCACTTACCCTTTATTCTACACCATCCATGTCATTCCTTATCCCTTGCACTCACCCTTTAGTCCATCCCACCATTCTTTATCCCAAACTTTGCATTTACTCTTTATTCTACACTGTCCACACCATTCCTTATCCCACACCTTGCACTCACCCTTTATTCTAAACCATCCACACCATTCCTTATCTCACACCTTCCATTTACCCTTTTTTTCTGCACCATTCATGTCATTCCTTATCCCAAACCTTGCACTCACCCTTTACACCATCCATGTAATTTCTGATCCCACACCTTGCACTCATCCTTTATTCTACACCATCCACACAATTCCTTATCCCACACCTTGCACTCTAACTCCATCTACACCATTCCTTATCCCTTGCACTCATGCTTTACTCCATCCACACTATTTACACCATCCATGTAATTTCTGATCCCACACCTTGCACTCATCCTTTATTCTACACCATCCGCACTATTCCTTATCCCACACCTTGCACTGGTCCTTTATTCTGCACCATTGTCCTGGTTTAGGGCAAATTTGAGAGAAAACCTCCAAAAGGGCCCCTCCAGCAAGCAAACCCACACAGCCCTTCTCCCCAATGAGTTTGGGAAGGATTCCCTGGAGAGAAGTGGAAAGAACCTGTTTATTTAACAGGCACAGCACTCCCAGCACTCAAAATCAACAATACCAGGTGACACAGCTCTGTCACCACTCTGAAAAAGATGACAAATTCAGAAAGTCTCTCTTGAGGGTGGTCGCTCTGTTATCAGTCCCTCCGGTGCTGGGGCAGCTGCTGCAGCCACAAGGTGCAAACTCTCGGTGTTTCCCAGGTCCCAGCCCAGAGCAGGTTTGGGTATGTTGTCCTCTTATTGTAAATCTTCCACACCTTCTCGGTGATTTCTCATGGGCAGTTCCTCACAACACTGACTCCTTCATCACAGCACAGCCAACAAACTCCAACTCTCTCTTCACAGCCAAAAACTCCAACCCTCTTCACAGCACTCATCCTCATCGGGCACAGCTGTGGCTCCTAATCTCTGGTAATTAGCACAGCTG